AACGGAAGGGGGGGGGGGCAATTACACCGAACTTGGCCATTCGTGCAGGTAGTTTACCACCGTGAGATACAGAATCTTTGCGGATGTTGCTCTGAATTAAAACGTGGTCAAGTACTCGTGGCTCCATTTTTAATTTATTTATAAATTAAATACATACTTGAATATGTATTTAGATCAGTAAATCATTTATAAAATTTAAGTTCAAGGCAATGCTTCGTTCCGCTTGAATCTTCTTTGAAAGACGCATCATTTATGACATCATTTATGAAAGACGCATTTTTTATGACTAGTAGCTATGCTGTATGCAACGAACGAGGTGCAGTGCGTCACAATCCGAACTGCTTTTTGTCATGCTATTCGATTAAAACATGACGGCCGTCGATCTTGGCAATATTCTGTACACAAGACACACTGCTTTACAGGTGTATTGGGCGGAATCTAAATAAACAATGGACTACTACGTAGAAGCAGAGGTTACCGCGATAGTTTGTGTTTTCTAGTATATTGCTGGATTTCCATACTTCTGGTATAAGTGAGTGAACACTCTTGTCACTCCTCCTTATGTATTCGGCGTTGTTTCACTGTCCCTTTGCTCCCAATGCTGTTAGTCGCCTAAGGGCCGTTTTAAGCAGGCCAGGGTTTTTCGTATCAGCATCGTAGTATTCTACGTCGGAGTATGTCAGATAATGGATGACTCTTCTCGGAACAGATTTCTGTCTAGCGGCAGCACATAAGTAGTTCCAGTTACTGTGTCGGTTCGTGATGAGTGCGTGATGACGCTAGCGAACTCAACGATGCGGATTTGTTCATGCATGTCCTGCAGGTGCTCAAGTAACATCATGACGAGGCTTGCTCAAGTGAGCCGCTGGCAGCTAAGGACAAAGGGCTATGCGATAGCCGTAAAATTTAGCCTTGAAAGATTTTCTCGTTATCACACATCTTGGAGCCGTGTAAACCAGCTCCTGCCTAACTCCGGTGATGAGGACGTATCGTGAAATTCTGACCATTAATTAATAGACTACCAATTGTTCGCTTGCGTTTGAGTGAGTCGTGCGTATGCTGTTTTTCAGTGATTATGATAAGTGACGACACTGCAGTGATATGCAAATTTTTAAAATTTCTTTATAGGTTTAAGGAAGGCTAGGGAGTTGGTTGCACTGAGTGATGGAACCGAAGAGAAGTTGTGAGCGGCTGGTGTGGAGTTTGCCTTAGAACTTCACTTAAAGAACCTAGAACCGAGACATTCGAAGCATTGCAGTTTATATGTTGACAGCTTCTTGGTGAGCTACAGATTCGAAGATTTTTCTGACGACTGTAGGATGGTTTCACACCGCGGTTCAAAGTCACTGTAAAAGTTTTTTCAGTACCTTTGAAGAAAGAAGCGATGACAGTCGCATTATTAAAATATTTTTTTGCAGTAGCGCAAAGTAATAAGTTTAGCTTAGACACAGTATTCCAATTAGCGACTATACACACATAAGATATATGGTTACAATTTATGTCAGAAAAAACATAAAGCGTGAAACCGGAAGATGGTGGCATGGATTGTTGTCATGGCGTCATTCGTGTGAACAGAGGATAAAGCTTAATCTATATGTATAAAATAGTGCAGTTCATTTTGTTGAATATCTGATTAATCTTATTTGCTTTAAGGTAGAGACCAGTCAAGTTGAACAATAAGACGACGAAGATGAAAATGATGAGAAACGAATTCCCATAATCAATTATAGTGATCATCATCAGTGATTACCAAACAGAAGATGTCAGCGGGTAGGTATTCTAGGGACGACTAATCGTCTCGAACTGCATTTTTGATTCATGGCTCATGGAAGTGCACTTCATGCGACGTGAAAACGACAGAAGAAACGCTTACATCCTTGAAAAGATAAGGTTATCACTTGCAATTAGAACCACATCGTATACAGGCCACTGTATTATATAGAAGTATGGAGAGTATGTAAGGGTTGTATTGTATAGAAGTATTGTTATAATATTATTGCTGCAATACCATCAGAATATAGAAGTAGAGCATTGTATCGAAACACATGGTATTGGGGTGTTTGCGAAACCCAGTTATTATAGAAAGAGAAGATGAACAACTGTTAAGATTGCAGCAGCGCGTTATGGAAAGAAGCATGATGAGTAGTTTCATCGAGTACAATCTTCCAAACGAATAACGTAGGTTGTACCATTATATCAGTTTTACAAGAAACAAAGGGACAGTGTTCAAACAGAAGAACAGAGGAACATGGCCCTATGATGGATAATTAATTGACTTCGGCAGCGATGTATTGGTACTCAAGAAGCTGCAGCCGCCCAGTTGGATGACCTAAGATGAAATGGTGGGATGTCGAACTTAAAGAAAGTCATTAAAGGTTGTCGAAAAAAATGCACCATACGGACGATCATCAGCATTGGGCAGTGATGATCTTCGCTCCCTTAAGTATAAAAACGACCTGTCAGTGACTGCTGCTGTCGTTGTTGTTGTAATTATAAACTGGAATTTTATTTTTGGCCAAGACAAATCTTCTCTGTTAAAGATCAACTGGTTCAGATTCCGCCATCGCGGCATTTGAAAGTCTCTGAATACTTGGAATCTTTGTCGTTCATCTCCTCTTCCACGTTTTCTACAACTTTTTCCACTTGTAGAAATTTGAGAACTTTTTTCTTTTAATGATATGGCAGATAAACTCGATTCTTCATGATTCCTCTTCTGTGATATATTTTGCTCCTAATTTTAATTTGATTTATTACTCATCAAAAATTTGGTTTTCTAAACCCAGTCAGGATGTTCTAAATACTCAGGTTAGTCGTCACTGTAAGGATCTGCTTTTTTGTCAGTGAGATCCAAATTTTGTAAAAGTGTTTCGAAAATTTTTTCCATCGCGACTGTAAGCACAATCTTTTCCTGATCTTCTCTTTTCTAAGGAAGATCGCGATTACCTAGTCTAGATGCCGATGCTTGTCTGACTCATGTGATTTGTCGCTGAACACTTTTACATCTGTCTTTAGGTCATCGTCCCATCTGAGCCGAGTTCTTTCAGTCAACGTCGTCAGATTCTTGCTTGAGTGCCAATCCTTCACTGCCGCAGTACCACTCGAGTTGCACACAGGGTACTGGGTGCTATGTCTGTTTGTACGTTCAACCGATCTTTGCGAATGGTTTTAATTGCTGTGCACGTTTGCTAGATGTCTTGGAACGAACGTCCGATTGCCCTTCATCCAGACCAAATCAGATATCACCTAACGGCTCTGTGAGGCTTAAATCATTCAGAGATTTCCTCGTTGGGTTTATATATTATGCTTACTTGATTAAGTTTATTGAATTAAGTTAATCTGTTAAACATGAAGAATTTCAGTAACTTTCTAATAAAGCAAGTCTTTTGAAATATATTTTCTCCTCGATTCTCCCACGACCCTAGAGGATATCGCCGCCACCTTCAAATGCGTCATGACCCTGAGTTTGGCAACCATTGTTTTACACCCTGAAGTGTAGTTATGCAGGTTACTGAAGGTACCATAGATAGTCATCATGATTTCATTTCGCTGTACATAGTAACATTCGCTTGTCGCAAGTCGGGTCTCCGAGGTCCACTGCATTTTTGCCAGAAACCGCGTCTATTTAACCTATGCTCCTTGAAGCATTTTTGTGACTTCTCGAAATTGTCTGTTCCTACTTCGTCAGCCCATATCCTCCAGACCAAAGGCTACCTGCGCTGATTTCGAAATGGATGTTTCGCGCTTCGTACAACTTATCTTTCTTGCCAACGTCTTTGCACTAGTGTTTTCTCGAATAACAAGCATCCACGTGAACTGGCTGCCTTGTTTATTTCAACATTCCGGTATTAGATTGAAAAGAGTGATTGTAAACTAAGGAAAAATGTCCATGAATCAACATTAAAGGGGTGATTTCAATCTGGTCATCGAGGTCTACACGTTCTTCAATCCTCTTTCTTTGGCTATTCCCATTGTCTATGTTGATTTGTA